CTGCTGGATGAGGGCCTCCCCTTGCCATGTCAGTTAAAGGGGCTTTGTTTCACCATACTTCAACATGCTGGTCAGTGCGTGTTGATATATCGGAAAAGATTGTATGTGTGTACTCATTTAATGCCAATAATACATCTCAACTGGGTAGGTTAAATGAAACGATGCATTACATTGTACTCTTTTCTTGGCATAAAGATATCATGTCTTGTATCATTTTATCACTGAATGAGCTAAAAATAGAACCCATGTAATGATCAAAATATGTTTTTTCTTCACTTGCATTAAAAAACGTTCCTCTCCTTGTGATTGGGTCACCTTGCGTCAATATCTCATGGCCCCTCAAAGATGTTTCTCCACAAGCTCACATCCATATCACATTATCGAGTCACACAAGCACGCACACAAATATTTAACAAAGACCACCCATATAGTCTAAACAGACTGTTGGGGCAAGTGCTGTTAGTAAGCACATGCCGGCACGTCACACAAGGCGGTGGGTGGTCAACACTACGCCCAGCCGCCTTTGTTTCCTTTGTGGCGATGTTTACACACCGCACGAGGCATTAATTTGAGGCCGAGTCTACCTCGGGGAGGGCCCAGTTCAGAAAATTGTCACTGGTGTTTGCCATGAGAGGGAATCGAACTCGGGTTGCGAGGTTCCGCTCCCCATACACGCGAATAGACACGCACGCACACAAGGGAAATCTTAATAGCTCCGGCCTCCATTAAAGATTCAATTTGGAAAACTAAAGTGGTACATTATTTTTACCTTAAAAAGCACATGGCGGACAATGTGACTCGCCTAAAAAAATCATTTATTTTAGCTTTGCTGGCAGGCATGGTATACACAAACCTGCGACTGACAAAAATATATATTTTCAAGACAACAGCACACTTTTTAGAAATTGGCGTTTTCTGAGCGTTATCAAAATACACTTCAATTGGTCTCGAAGGCAAGCAGATTGCTTCATGAAGTGCAGAGGCATGTGGTGAATGTTTTTTTTATGGAATGACAACACGTGTCTGTCTAGAGAGGAAGTATTCCTGTCTGATTATAAATCGAGCATGTAACAAGCAGAATAACATGAGGATGGAAACAATGTGATATTTGAAATCGTAATTTTACGATCATGTATGAGCACATTTGGAATGAATTGTGAGTAAGAGAGCTCGGAAACAAAACCTAAATCAATGAACAGGATACAAGAATAAGTGGGGTGGCAAAAAATCGATTTTTTTTTTTGGTCAATTTATATTACGTGCTGGCGGACGTATTTATAGGTCTAAAACTACAGCTTCAACATGCCAAACAGTAGAACATTTTATACGCAACATCCAGTGCAGGAACCCGCTTTAACTTTTAACATTCGTATATTATTCACAGCTCCATCTGACTGTCCATCATACATTTCATGAAAATGTCGTGCATGTATTTATGTACATACATATAGATGTACACCATTTTTACACTGATAACATTATCTTATTTTATTTACATAATTACTATGCTTAGTTATTAAAAAAAAAACCATTGTGGTGTTTACGGCTAAGAGACAGGGTTGGTGGATCAAGCTGAGATCACGTTCACGGTTACCGATTAGTGGGGCAAAGTGCTTCTAAGAGGAAGTACAGCAAGTAGTCACATGTTCAGTCTTGCCTCGTTATTCACGAACTTGCCATCCGCGATTTTGGCTATCCGCAAATCGCATCTGGAAGTCAACAAAACTGCATCGAGAAATAAAGTGATGTGATAAAGTGATGAGATAAATTGATGAGATGAAGTTATGAGAGAGATAGAGAGATAACTTCTCTAAGCTTTCGAAGCATCTGCAGACATTGCGTGTACGATATTTGTAGGCCAATATTATCCACGAAATTTTCTATGCACGAGCATCTCTGGAACGTATCCCTCATGCATAACGAGGCAACACTGTACTCGGTGTATACTTTGAGTCAAGTGTAAGAACGCAGATCTTCAGTGTTCAACTCTTACACGAGAGGACGTTTTCTTCGGGCACTCTAGATTCCTCGCACGTGCAAAGAGACTCAAAAACGAATCGGTCAAAGAACCCAAACTGGTCTTGTATTAAAGCGCAATCAGGCTCACTGAGGCTTTGCTGCAATAATAAATAATAAAAATAATCGCAATGGTAAATCACGCAATTGTGCGAGTCATTTTGGCGTGTGTTGAAGATCAGCGGGCACAAGAAATGACTCCGTCGCATGCTTTGCCTCTCAGATGGCGGAGCCCTGCCACACGCTGCAATAAAGGCACGGGAAGAGGGCACATGAAACAGGCCGGAGGATCAAAGCACAAATGTCAGCTGATCACAGAGGGTGTCAAGTGCTCCGGACCTGCGCTGCGGACCACGGCAGCTGGGTTATTCGGGCCAAGGTCTCCTATTTACTTACTGCGAAAGCTCTTAAGAGATTCATTATTTATTCATGAACGACCGCACAAGTTTATGTTTCCTTCGGTGTTATTTAAGTCAATAGAGACTGAATCTGTAGGCGGAGAGAGGTCGGGTAGCCCAGTGGTCCGTGTGCTCATCACCAAGGCAGATTGTGCAGAGTACATGGTTACAGCCTCCATTAGGGATTCGTTTTGGAAAACAAAAGTGGAACATGATTTAGAGCGGCAAAGACATTTATCTAGTACTAAACACGGATGTTAAAGGACCCTGTGTCAATTTACATTATTAAATTGAGTCGGGATGGATTGGGAGCCGGTCAAGGGATGGAAGGTTTGGTTTAATGTGGTCTTCAGGAGGGCTGAGGTGATTCACAAGTGTGGCATTGTAGTGTTCAACAAAAGGATTGTTGTCCACAAAACCAGAAATAAGAGACAGACTACAGGAGCAGAGGAGACAGATGTCTGGTCGGGGGTTAAGAGGTTTTGGAACGTGGAACCAGGAGGCCTATAGACAACGAATGAGACATTTGTGAGGCGGTGGTCACTAAATGGACGGGTGAAATTATGGGTGTGAGCGAGCGACTTGGTGTTGAAGATGACAAGGTTGGAGAGCATAACCATGGGAACGAAGGTTAGGCGAGATTAACTGGACGTCGGATGAGATGGATCTAGATTGATCTAAGGCATTGATGTTGATGTCACCAGTAATGTCGATGTAAGATCATAAAAGTCGTACATGGTTTGGCTTTGGTGGACAGTAGATGACAAGAGTTTGACGTTTGAGGGAGGGATTGGAAGAAATGCTCAAAAGAGGAGAAATTTGAGGATCTTACGACACAAATATCACAAGTCAGGTTTAGAGTTGACAGCAACCCTTCCACCCCTGCCATGTGCATGCACACACGTGTCGAGTCGATAACCAGTAGAGTGATGAAAGTTTAGAGGGGGGTGTGAGACAAGAGGATGTTATTGATACCTTCCAACAGAAGATACATTTATTTAGAAGCATGATTAAGGATATGTTCACATGTTGGAGGTGGGCCAACTAAACCTTACAAATTACATCATCTTGGTGGAGCTAAATGAAATAACGGCATAGGCAGAGCGATCCACTTTGATCGAATAAATGTGAATCACACCCCGGGGACATTTTGCAAGCGAGATATGACGTAACTCTGTGCAGAAAAAAGGTACAAATTCAGCACTGAACAAAGGCAATCCATTTGAAGCGACACTGATTCTGAAAGAGTTTTGCTCAGAACCCACTTGAAGACATTTACAACATGGGTATATTTTGTGGCGAGCGATAGCGTACATTTAGCAATAAAACCTCGTTTTGAATGCCAATGTAGCTGTACCATGTGGTTCTGAGATAGGCACCCACGCTTCAACAGCCCATATCTATTATTTAAGGACCTAATCTGTGTATTTGTCCAGAGAACTGTTCATTGACAGCTCCCTTCATTTCAATGAATAAGGTGGCATTTGAAACAATACAACAAGTCAATCAGCAAACAACGTTGAAATTATGAAATTTAATTCAGCTTAGACACGATCGTTCAGCTTTTTTGGGCCATCTATGCTGCTTATCTATTCTAGAACATGAAGCGAACTGCTATTTAAAATTATATATCGGATAGGTGTTTGGCGTTGGGGGATGTATGTGTACAGGGTGTATGGGTGGAGCTCACGGTGTGAGTCGTGGGTGATGAAATACCCACTGCAGTAGTTGCGTGATATTGTTTTTAATACATGACTAAGCTGCATTACAAGGATGGCGTGAAACTCATGGAATTGTAAATGAAGCTGAAAAATAAACATGTAAAACTAGCTGTTAACTGGAAAAATTAAACCATTTACATACAGCACATGCTACCACACATTGAAAAGTCAAAATAAGCAAATGTAATTGTAATTTAAATTTTAAAAAGTAATTGTCCTGCTGTCCACATTGGCGGAGACTACCAAAATTAACAAAAAACCATCACGTGGGTTCTCTAAATATTCTGATACAGAATAATCGGTTCCAATCATATTTTCACACGTTCAGAATCTAACACAAACCATCACGTTGTGGCATATGAACTGAGCTCATAGGAACGGCTAAAAGCGCAAATGGGCCACCTCACACTCATCATCGACAAATAAATCTGAAATCTCAATGCCTCCACACACCAGCGTGTGTAATGGCAATAAGAGGTCATTCTCTCAAACTCAGCCTTAATAAAGAGCCACCGACCTCAAAAATTGTGCTAACTTGATAGATGTTTTTAATTTATTTCACAAGTAGGCTTCGACAGATTTTTTTTTCTTCAGATAAACAATGTGAAACGTGCACGAAATAAGGATGAGACGAATGAACGGTGCATCAACATTTTTTTTTGTCCCTTCTCTTTTTAGCCCAACGTCTAAACGCGAATCGGCCCTCTAATAAAACAGAAGCCATAACGAACCTCAACTCTGGGGGGGGGGGCCCATTCTCGCTCAAACAAATACATAACCGACATTTACAACAACAAAACCCACACACAATCGTAATAATCGAGGAGGAAGAAGAAGCGTGCGGGGCAGCGTTACTACTACGTACGTGTGGTGGACCGTCCCAGCGACGTCGGAATTCGCGACCTCCTCTCGGCCGTCGACGGCTGGGCAGGAGGCGCGCCGCTCCGCGCCTGCTGCATTCCGATTCCCTCCCTCACCTCGCAAGGCAGTGCCGGGGATTTATTTTATATTTTCTTTAAACATCCTCCCGCTCTCCTTGATGATTCTTCTTCTACTTTCTTTATTTTTCTTGCTGCGTCCTGCACCACCACCAACACCACCCGTCCCCTCACCCATCCACTCACCCACCCACCCCGGCAAAAGGCCGATTTTTCCACTTGGGTTAGATTGGCGATATCGAAACCCGCGCCGGCTGGCGTTTCTCCGTTCCTGCCGCTTGCTCCTGGCAATAGTTTAGATTTTTATTTTTGTACAAAAACATTCCCGTGTTTCCTTTTGACTCCGTCTCACTATAAAAGCTCTCGCGCACTGTATTGCGTGCGGAGTGGGCAGCTCCTCCAGCCTTCTCTGACCTGCAGTGCATACAAATGATGGTGACTGCACGTGACGTTAGTCCTCCCTTATATATTTAATCCTAAAGGGAATGAGATTATGCTGCTGCTGCTGCATGACAGCTGCTTTGGCACATGTGCTTCACACACCGGGAACACAAAAGGCAACGGTGAACTGTGACCCGTAACAGGACGTTACGTCACTCAATCAGCAATAAAATATACTGCACTCATCATAATTTTATGTAAACATTTTATTACCCCTTTAAAGTGTGCTTTCAGATGTTTTGAGTAAATGTCCTCCTTTCACGTAAATAAGAACACTTTAGCTAAACATTATCAACGTTCCAACACTGGCTATTTATTTTGGGCAATCGCTACTCTTGAGAACAACCTAAGAATTGTAGAATGTTTTGTTCATAGATGTGTTTTTTTGTTAATTGCGTAGTTTCGCAACATCACTCTGCCTTCTGAATTGCCTTTGTGTTGCATAATCTGATTATACGAACTGGCAAAAATGTGTAATTTGCGAGCGAAAGCTGAAATGTGTATCATAATCTGAAATCCATATTTTTAAAAGTGCACCACAAAAATTCCATTAACAAAAATATCGGATACATCCCTCATACAGCACCCATATCTCCTTGACAAAACGGCTATTTCCTCTCAATTGGCTCTCCAATATATGCTAATAAAGGTTATTGAGCAAGAGGGGGGTCTCGTGTCACTGGGTTCTCATAGAGCAGCAAATTGAATAAAATTGTATTTCATTAAGCTCATCACTTGCCTGTAAGTAAAAGGAACGATGGGTTTAACACCCTGCAATTACTGCCACTCAGTATCACTTCATTTATAAAGCCCCAGAAGAGAGAGTTTTGATTTTCAGAAAACTTTTTTGGAAAACTCATGGAGGTGACACTCGGTGTACCTATGACACTAACACAGAGTGATGGGCTGATTGGCCTTGCCGTCAACATGCTTGAAACTGGGTCAGGAATATGAAAGTTATGTTGCTGCCACAAACGTCAAAAATATTTGTTTTGTGTCTTTTCTCTGAACCTGTGTGCTCTGTCTGTTACATATCTACACTTATAATTAGCATCAGCCATGACCAATCTCCTGGTGGATGAAGGCATCCCCCGGTGAGTGATATTGGAACTGGCCCTAGGCACCCCCTTCACCAACCCACAATGACCATCGTGGTGAAGTATGACCAAACAACCCCCATGACGATATGGTGGAGAGGTCTTCACCCAGCAGTGGCTGACAAAGGGCTGTAAATGATTCAGCTACAAATGTTTCCCATACTGTATATAGGCAGACACTGAAATTTTTAATTAATTTGGGCAATATAATGGCTTGTCTATTGTGTAAATAGACCCATAAACAGACTTAAACAAATTGTCTTCCAGACTTAAAGAGTCCAGAATGCACGCTATGCACTTGAATACACCAATGACTAACTCTTATTAGACAAAGCAAATTAAACATTTATCACGCAATGGCCATTTTTGGCACAAAGATGATGCACTAAGTATCTCTCCCTCCATGCCCCAATTAATTAAATTACTTGTTTTACCCCCAAAATCTTGCGTGCCATTTGCAGCATCCCATGATACCGCCACGCCAAGAAAAAAAAGGTCATCTCCACGGTAACCGCTCATCCCACAAGATGAGCTCCAGTGTGCCTGGCAGGCGGCTGTGTTATCGTGGCTGGACTGAGTGCCGAGGCAAGGGTCGAACTGAAACCACAGCTATGAAGTGGCACGGGCAGGGCCTTCCATAGAGGGGATGCGGGGCCTGGGACAAATCCCACTGTGTTGGGCCTCCCGATGCATTCAAACTCACCCCGAAGTATCACGTCTGACACTGTGGCGTCAAAGGGCAGGGCCTCCCCCCTGCCCACCCTCCAGCTCCCCAAAGTGCGGGGCCCGGGGCGGTCACCCCGATTCGCTGTCCCCCCTAGGGACGTCTTTGGGCACGGGTCATCTTGCCGTTTTGTTTGTAGCAGCAAGACGAAGACACGTGCGTGGGGAATGTGATGTGTACTCTATACTACGTGGCGATACTGCCGCAGTGGAATGGTTTTGCGCACAGGACTTGAAAACCCAGAGGGTCAGTGGCTCGATTCAATCTCCCTAGTGGCACAGCATAAGCCGGGTGCGACACAGCTAGTCGACTGGTAGGTTGTGTGTGGTGGGGTAAATTGTGGGTAATCCCACCTCTTGTAAGATGTCTTGTCAGTGTGGAAGAGTTGTACCCCGTTAGTGGATCTCTCCGAGAGCTCCCTCGAGTGGTAAGACCCTTCTGCTTGCCGTGGAATGAACAATTAATCGCGAGGTTGCACATTTAGTGTTTTTTATTGTATGCTACGTGTGTGATGTGAGGTATCAATTTATCGATTCAAATCTATTCTTATGCTCATGATGCACACGCTTAACATTGTGCATGTAAGATGAAAGTATATCTATTATGCAAACCATGCAGAATGTATATAATAATCTTATATTTCGGCACACGGAGGTAACACAACTGTACAAACAAGATAAAAGAAAAATTATATGAGGTTGTCAAGACGAGACATTAAAAATGTAGTTCACCACTTCAATCGTGACCCCGAATCATGCTAATTACTTGGGGGGTGGGTGATTCGATGCATGCCTACTGTATCCGTCTATTTGATTAAACATTAGGGTTGACTGCAGCGGTGTGTATTTTAGCTTAGCGTTATGTTCCATGCTTTCAACTTGTTTAAGTAAAAGGCAACTTACAAACCCACCTGCCCACTTTGCGACATATTTTCCGAACCACCTACCAACCCCATCTACCTCCCTACCCTCCTCCACCTTCCCACGAATTAACCTACCTACCAACCTTTAAAATGATCTAAAAACCTATAGATCCACATACCTAGCAACAAACTTTTAATTCCATAACATCAGACATATTCACCTATCTACCCTTCCATCTGAATACATACCCTGTGTTATACCTACCCACCCACTCTTTTAATTACCTAGTAACCTAACTATTCACCTGCCCACCTTTATACCTACCTACGTACACTGCATTATACCTACCCACATATCCCTCTAATTATCTCAAAACCTACCTAATCACCTACCCACCTTAATACCCACCCACCTTTCTCCCGCAGCTCCGATTAGAAGGGTTGGCTATGTACGGTGCAAAATAATTTAAACATACATACGCCCCTCTAATTATCTAATAATCAACCTATTCACCTACCAACCCTTCTCCCTACCGACTTACAAAACCCTCAATTATACCTCCCAACCCACCCCTCCAATTACTGTTCCTAACAACCTACCGACCCCATTACCCACCTTTCTACCCACCTTTCTACCCACCTTTCTCCCCACCCTTCTACCTACCTGCCAACCTACCCAAACACACCTGAAAATGTAATAATAATATTAAATTCAATTCTAGATTTGAAGCTTTCGTGACTGCAAGGATCCATACTCTTTGGTTCTATTCGGTAAAGTCACATAGGTAAAAAATAAAACAACACAAATCACGACGTTTCGGCCACAACACAAGTGGCCTTCTTCAGGTGAAGGAACAGAACTGTCGGGACGACAGCACTTCAATGACCGCTGCTAAGATTCGCAGCGTCTTTTAAGCTCGGTGGGAGGAGCAGGACGCCTTGACAAAGGAGTTTACATATCAAAAATAGCTGTGTTAAAGTGTTGAAGCAGCAGGGTGGTGTTACAGTCAGAAAATTAGCTGGGGGATTAGCATATTTTTGTGTAGAGGGTGCGGAGGATGGGTCACTGTGTGTGTGCAATAGAAACGGAAAAAATTAAAGATCGGCAAGAATGTGCTGTCAGGGGAGAGTAGAAGGAATATGCTTGGTATACCATTACTTGAAATTGCTGTTAGAAATTAGTTGCATATTCCTTCCGAACTTTCTATTAAACCCTTTTTTCTACTCTCCCCTGACAGCACATTCTTGCCAATCTTTAATTTTTTCCGTTTCTATTGCACACACACAGTGACCCATCCTGCGCACCGTCTACACAAAAACATGCTAATCCCCCAGCTAATTTTCTGACTTTAACACCCTGCTGCTTCAACATTTTAACACAGCTATTTTTGATATGTAAACTCCTTTGTCAAGGCGCCCTGCTCCTCCCACCGAGCTTAAAAGACGCTGCGAATCTTAGCAGCGGCCATTGAAGCTCTGTCGTCCCGACAGTTCTGTTCCTTCACCTGAAGAAGGCCACTTGTGTTGTGGCCGAAACGTCGTGATTTGTGTTGTTTTATTTTTTGCCTACGTGACTTTACCGAATAGAACCAAAGACTATGAAATTCGCCCAGGAGTAACTTAAATCATTGGTGCTGTATAGTTCACACCTGGCAAAGGCTTTTGGTGCCAAATCAAATAAATGCCCGGTAGAGCAAGAACCAGGCACGCAAACCCACCCAGGGGTCAGAAGGAAAATCAAGGGAAGAGTGTCTGTGTGGATTTACAAACTACACACGCACTACCTCCTGGACACCCGTTGGCAACACAAGAGCTCCTCTTCACCACAACTTGCTTGTTGAACGCGCACTCTCAGTACGTTCAGTCATTTCCTGTGTGCCCAGCCGCTCCAGTGAACGTTCCGCACTTGCAGTGATGCCATCAGGAGGTGGAGAGGCAGCGTGGACCAGCACTTCATGGTCTCTCCTCTTGTCTCATAATTACCCCTATATTTTTTTTCGATTTAAAACTTTCGTGACTGCAGGGATTCATCTTCTTGGTTCTTTCGGTAAAGTCACGTAGAATGGAAATAAAATAATAAAAAGAAAACATAATAAAAAAAATAAAAAATATTGTTTTATTTTTATTATTTTATTTCCATTCTACGTGACTTTACCGAAAGAACCAAGAAGATGTACCCCTATGTTATCCCATAAAAAGAACACCGCGTGAGAATGCTGACCTATCCTTTAAATATTTTACAAGCAACGTGTATTTGCGGTATGTGCTTAGTTTAAGAACTGAATTTATAATAAAATAATATAACAGGCAGTGGGAGTGCAGTGGTTTGTGCACTGTGCCATGAACCTGGTGCCCTCGGTTCGAATTCTGGCCATGCAATCATTGACAAGTGATATCCGACTTGGTCCTGGGCAACTCCTTCACCGACCCCTGCTAACCAGCGTGGTGAAGTCAATCAACCTCCTCGACTGCCACTGCACAGGGAAGCGTTCATCTGGCAGTGGATCGACAAAGGGCAGTAAACTGTACAATTATTATAATAATAACAAAGGCTATGTCTCAGTGTTAAAATGAGCATTGGGCAGTGCTTCGATCTGTTTGTGGCCCCAAATTAAGAGGTGGAAACTCTGTTTTGCATTGGTATTCCCAACCAAGAGCTTCAATGCTCCACCAACTGACCACGCTAATGCATTTGTTACTGCTGCCATTGTAACTCGACTGCAACGATTAAATGCCATACATTTGAGGATCTAATGTCAAGATTTCAGCAATGCTGGTTTTGTGCTTTGACACGAGCGTTATTCACCAGAGCCTCCCAGCCACCTCAAAATGAGAATTTATCAATTGTAACCTCAAGAGAGAGGGATCGATCCCCACACAAAGGAAATCGGAAAAGGCACAGGAGTGAGAAATGGTTGAGGCATGTTTGAGACAAGCTGCAAAATCATACAAGAAGACAAGGGAGCAGAGGGAGGGTAAGCCCTTTCGAATTGGATATTGGCATCATCACCAGTTTCAGCTGCCAGACAGCCACATGTAATTAAACACATCGCAGGACACCGCGGGGTGAATTGTCATTGCCGAACCTCTTCAAAGCCTCATCGACCATTAGGGCGAAAGGTGCTTGTGAAGAAAATGCCCCACCTCCCCAATTAAATAAGCCTTTCTCAGTGGCTTCAAACTCAAGAGTGCTGTTTTCCCCGCCCAAACTACCCATCTGGAGAAGAGCGGGTCCTAATTTCCCAAAGCCCTGTGCCCCTTCCTACACAACCGTTGCTTTTGTGCCGAGTGAGTCGTGCCAAATGGGTACTAAAAGAATGCTCATCCCACGATTACATGAATAAGCACACCCATTAACCTGAGATAGGTAGTTTCACTTTACTGTGGGCATGCAATGAGTCACTGAGCCCCGTGGGCAGTCAGATCCGGTGATGGGGAGTAGTTTCCTAGAAAATAATTCCACTAATATGATAGCCTAGTCCGTGATGTAAGCTCAGGATTATATTTCGACGTGAATATCCTCACCAAAGTTTGTCTACAACCTTAAGCTTTCAAGCCACCCATCATGAATTTATCAACATCATAGCCATATTATTTTACAACTCCACCAACCTTACATTGCATGTTTATGAAAATGGCAAAATCCAACATTACTCGTTTCAAATTGGTCTCTTGGTGAGCTCAGCTGGAAAGCCAGAACAGCGGTCATTTATCTGGCCACTGAAGCAGTCTGCACGGATTCAGCAAGTTGAACATTGCAATGCTGTGCACGATCATTATCTCATTCTCAAAGAAAGCGACCTGCTGCAGGATCACTTGACGTTGCAACTCTTACCCCCCCACAATATAACACTGATAACACGATGTAACACGATTTTTGTTCCTGGGTAGTAAGTGTTATTTTCTAATTGCTTATGCCTCAAAAGTATAGAAAATGGATATTATTCCCCACAAATGTTGCTTTTGTGACCAGGACTTTACGTGAAGTAATGACACAAATGTACACCACGTTTTCTCATTTAAAATAGGTGAATTTCAAAATATCACTGTCCTGGTCACAAAAGCAAAGTTTGTGGGGAATAATAGCCATTTTCTGTACTTTTGAAGCATAAGCAATTTGAAATGAACACTTAGTACCCAGGAACAAAAAACTAAATTTTGTTACAGTGTATAATCCGTAAAGAGCAGTTTTCAGCATGCTCCTTAATATTCGGTTTAAAAAAATGTTCTTCATATCAACCGCCTGTAATAGAGTACGGTCGAAACCTCTTAAACTTATTCCTCAGAATTTAATGTAAATGAAATGACAAATCATTAAAATATTTAGTCATTGGTAACTTGTCTGAGAAGACTATTAAACCTTGTTATATTTGAGAACCTTATTTATGAATCACAGGTGACTGATAACCTGGAATCAAACCCAGAATTTCATCAGTTCTGGCTCAGTGCTACGAGCCCTGTGAGTTACCCAGAAACCTCACAGAGACAGAGACTTGAGCAGGAAAACAAGAGAGCGGATCATACATCCAATGCCTCCCTTCACCTGCCTCATGGAGTCCACAGAGAGGAAAGAAACAGGATCGTCGCACCAAAAGGCTGGCTCGTTAGAGACTCCCCACCGGGATTGAATGTGGAGGCTGTATCTAAAATGGCACTCCTCCACACGCACTGCCTGTTTCATCCATCCTCCGACACCAAATTTATGCCACTCTAGCGTGACCAGCCGAGAATACAAACACGACGCGGAATTAATGGAATCGTCGCCGCGCTGAATCCCATATTCAATCAGTGCGGGCGGCTTGGGTTCCACTTTGCTCTGCGTCGCAATTTTTTTCTCCAATGTTGGCAGCACTGAAAGGCGTTGGGCGCTCTCTTCTGATGTCGATGAGGTTTTTTTTTTATGGATTCCTGTGCTAAATCCGCAGGGCCGGGGCTGTTAGCTTATGCAGTCTGGCTATAAATCACTGCCGAGTTTACCAGTGTAACAATTTGAAATGCGAGTCACAATTATTTCTAATTTCGAAACACGTTTGCCGATGTTTACATATATAGACACATTACATGTAAAACCACTGGGATGGTCCCCAACAAAACTTTA